TTACCCTCTCTCGTACAGCTATGCCTAGGGTGAAGGCATTGACAGCAGTACAGTGATGAAGAAGCACACCAGAAACCGCCTCCCCCTCTTTGTCGAGATGAAATGGTTCATTCCAGTGGCCCCCGGCTCGGTCCGTCTTGGTCCCACTTCCATTCCTCATGGTGAACATGATGGTCACCTCAGTCTCCTCATCACCGGAATTCTCCACATCCCAAACGAAGACAGCCAGCGGCAGCGATGAGTCCTGAGGACGAGGAGGTGTTAGAGTCACACCACAACCCCCCTGGAAAAGTTCTGTCCCCCAGAACCTGGACTTCAGCAGCCATGATTCCAGGACAATGGGAATGAGGTTCAGAGAAGTTCTGTCCCCCAGAACCTGGACTTCAGCAGCCATGATTCCAGGACAATGGGAATGAGGTTCAGAGAAGTTCTGTCCCCCAGAACCTGGACCCATCAGCCATGCAGAGAAAGTCAGCGACCTTGAAGCAGGATAATAAATCAGACAAAAGATCCAGACAATGTGAATCCACAAAGCATTTGGGAAAAGTCTCCCCAGGTTGGTGTACCACATCCATCTGGGCCAGTCCGGAGCTATGAGGATCACCGGATGGGAAGCAGATGATGAGGAAGTGGTTTTAGGGGAGGTGGGGGTAGATCAGTGTGTACGGATACCATGGAGCCACCAGACCATCTGCTGCTTTTGTCAGGAGGCCAGGAGGTCCACATCTAGTGTCCCCGACCTGTGGCACAGACCTTGGAACACCTGTGGTGTTGGGACCACCCCCCTCAGGTCCAGGCAGTGCCGGCTGATGAAGTCTGCCTACCGATTGTCTATGCCTGGGATGTATATGGCGGATAGGGCCGGAACCCGATATTTTACCCGAACTACCTCCACTCTCTGGTGTCCTGACCAGCTGAACTGCATCATCTTCTGGCAGGAGGGATCACCACGGCAGAGACAACCAAATCACCGGGAGCTTCAGGATGTTGTTTGGAAGACGAGACTCCTCTGACAACCACAATCCCTAATCCCTACTCTGACATGGTGCCCAGGACTCCTCCCCAGCCCAACATTGGTTGTGATGATCTTCCAAAAGACGGGAAGGACAAGCTTCCCCGACGGCAGAGACAACCTGGCTGAGGAGTCTGTCCGGGGACCTGTCATGGTGCAGAGGGAAGGAGTGAAACTCGGCAAACTGGGATTGCCTCGAAGGAAGCAACAATCAGACCCAAGCGGAGGGGAAGCTCCTCGACTGGAGAGCTTGAATGTCAGATTAGAGGAGTCTGAAGATTGGATTGGACAGGCCACCTGGGGCGCTGAGGCCACCTGGGGCGCGGAGGCCACCTGGGGCGATGAGGCCACCTGGGGCGATGAGGCCACCTGGGGCGCGGAGGCCACCTGGGGCGCGGAGGCCACCTGGGGCGCTGAGGCCACCTGGGGCGCGGAGGCCACCTGGGGCCCTGAGGCCACCTGGGGCGCAGAGGCCACCTGGGGCCCTGAGGCCACCTGGGGCCCTGAGGCCACCTAGGGCGCTGAGGCCACCTGGGGCGCGTA